AATCAGCAACATATAATACAAAAGATTGTAATTAAAGACGATGGGTACTGAGGAAAAATATTTATTTCTCTCTACAACTCTGGCCCGTCTTAAGCAAATTATTGAAATAAAATTACAACTTTGGGGCGCATTACCGAAGTCATCGATGAGTAGGTACTACAAGATTAGACCATCATCGGCGCAGTGCCCGGGCGCATTGTACCCCCTGCACCATGGGTAACAGGCGACCCCGAGCGCTTTGCACTGAGAGTTGCGATGTATAAAATCTAATAGACTATAATTTACCACACGGATCCAGTGCAGAATGAATGAGACGGAGAAGCATGAAATAATACAATTTGGTCACCCATCCTATGATTGGGCTTGGCCAATGGATGTTTAACTTCAGCGTTGTAGCTAACCTTACCGCACTGCCTTAAATTAGATGCTACTTTTTTTAAATTTCAACGAGTAAGTAGTTCATATAAAGTTCAGTATTGAAATTAAAGTTCTTTGGTTCAATAACTCTTCGTGGGTGGATGTTTGTAGTATGTTGAAAATAGCCGCCACCCACACAAACAAGTACTAACAAAAATAGTAGAAGGAAAATTAAAAATACTCTTGATAAAGTTGCCGTCATTTGTAAAAGCCGTTGGTTTTTTACAATAAAAATATTTAAAAAAAGTAATAACATTTGGAACGGTAAGTTCTTATCATAATATCGGTAATCATAGTAAACGTAATATTAGTAAGACATGGGTGAAAGTAATTTCGAATACTTCTATAGAACAATAACAGAGCCATCTATTTATATCATTACAAAGTATTAGAACCTCATACATGTAAATGCTATAACTACAAAGCAACTTTTCGTATCGATGGTTAAACCATAATCGGTAGATGTCGCTAACTGTCGTTAGTTAAAGGTAACTAGTGTTGTAACATAATTAAGTATAATCTATGTTATGAACATGATTATTTTTCATGATAAATAACAGTAATTAATTCGGTGTCTTTTTTAAATGTGATTTTTTAACTTTTTATACTCATTTGTTACGGAAGGCGTTTATGTATTACCCAGTATCAATATTAAAAACTGTAGTGAATAATTTGATAATGGTTTTCTTTTTAGATTTTTTGCTCAATTATATTCAAAAAGTTTCACATAAACGGTGATTAAGACTATAAAATAAAACTATTACCAATTATACTCCATAACTCTTACTGAGTAATATGAAGAAAGATCTTTGTTTTGAGTTTGAGGTCATCGTTTGTGAATCATTAATCATCCAATGGTACGTAGGTACTTAGTTAATGTCCAATAAACTGTTGAATAATAAATAAATATATAAAAATATATATATATAAAAATAAATAAATATATATATATATATTTATTTATTAAAAAAAAAATAAAAAAAAATAAAAATAAATAAATATATATATATATATTTATTTATTATTTTACATCTGACGATTTAAAGATTATTAAACTCGATTCACAACAATTTTATTAACATATCATAAAAATAGTAACTTGTATTCATGTTATGGGTATATGTTAAAAATAAGTTAATTCTTTTTGTAAATAAAAACTCTTTGTAGTTGTAACTTTCTATACTTCTCTGCCTTTGTAGTACCTATTCTTAGGTCTTCACTCAAAGAGGACTTGGCTCATTCATTTACTAATTATAGCAATGTTCTAAATAGGTAGGTATGAACAGTAAGCTTTGTTGAATATAAAATGACTGAACAATGAAGAGAATAACCTTATGTATTCTGCTTGCTTCATGTTACATTTTATTTTGACTCATATTAAGTATATACCTATATATCAAAAATTTCTCTTTATAATAAGATATTATAAGTGACTACTTTAAAGAGCCAAAATACCTATTTTTAGTTATTAGGAACCTACATACATAGTAGATACCTTTGACTCTGCGCAAGAAGTGAGTAATGTCAGAAATTAATTAAAAAACAATTAAAATGAAAAAAAAAGTTAATTGTTAAGTATGTTAAGAAAAAATTTCGATATAGCAATTTTTACACTGAATAAAAGTCGGTATTTTTCTTTTATTATAATGTTTAAAGGTAAAAGAAGAGCACGGATAATTTGTTTACGAAGTGCTAAATATACATTTATCTCCATAACATTAATCTAAGCGATTGGGTGGCCGGCCAATGCACATTACTTATGCTCTGTAACCAACTAGCGGACATTAAAGACCGCATTAGAGTTCTAACGGTGATCTAATGACACGTCGTGACTTAATATATTATTGTCATTCGAATATTATCAGATACTGTTATAGCATTCAATCCTAAATAGATAAAAAAAGATTAATAACAGATCTTTCAAAAGTGGTTTTAAAAATTTTAATGAGAATACGAATAGAAACTTTTAATTGTTAAGTATGTACAAAATTGCTTTTTAAAAAATTAGGTTAATAAAATTGAAATATTAATAAGATTAAAACAAACATAACATATAATAACTGGGATAGATATAATAAACAAGAAGTCGTGTTGCAAAGATTCTTTTTAACAAACCTAAAAAAAGGAAATCGACATTAAAAAATGTTCTTAATTTGACCTGTACGTTAATAACCGACCTTAATAGAAATAAATCATTAATTTGACTTATATGTATGTAATTTTGATGGAATATAGCGCAATATTCATATAAGTTAGTTTATATTTGCTTCTAACTAAACACGTGTTATATTTTTAGATGTATAGTTATAATTATTTATGAAACACTGTTGGATAAATTAGAGCATTATGGTGTGACGAAAAATTCACTAAATCTAATAAAATTATATCTTTCTGCTAGAATTAAAAATTAGTAATTAAATGAAGCGAATTCTGCAGGGGCACCCATTGCTATGGGCGTACCCCAGGGATTGGTATTAGGACCACTGCTTTTTTTAATTTACATTAATGATCTTCCTCACTTTACGAAGAATTTGTGCGAGACAGTATTATTTGCTGATGACACCTCTTTAGTGTTTAAGAGGGATAATGATTGTTTTGACAATGTAAATAATGCCCTCCACAAAGTTTGATAATAATAATTTAAAGTTTAATTCAAATAAAACGAAATGCATAAAGTTTGCATTACCTAATGTGAGGCATGTTAGTGCACTTTTAAATGTTAAGAAAATTAGACTCTTGACAAATGTTGAAACGGCAAGATTGGTATATTTACTAATGACATATGGTCTATTGTTGTGGGGTTATGCGGCTAGCATTCAAGATATTTTTATTCTACAAAAGAGAGCTGCCCGCGCTATATATAATTTACGGTCTAGGGAATCCCTCAGAGAAATATTTAAAGAAATAAATATTTTGACTGTTGCTTCTCAATACATCTGTGAAAATATTATGTACGCAAGAAAACATAACGATTCCTTCACAAAAAACCAGTAGTGTACATAATCTTAACATAAGAAATAAAAATAAACTTGCCGTTCCAAGCTTCAGACTTCAGAAAACCAGAGGGTCATTTTTGGGTAAATGCATTGCTATGTTCAATAAAGTTCCACAAAATGTGATTGACCTACCCAATAAGTTTAAAATTCATGTAAAAAATATACTTATGAGTAAAATCCTAATCCTACTTATGAGTAAAAGCTATTATAAAGTTGATGATTATTTTAAGGACCGCAATGCATGGAAATAAGAGCCTTCGCTTTGTTATATAACGACTAATTATATATACTAACTATGACTATGACCTACAGACTTTGAAAGTTGTGTTTATTTTAGTGATAATAGATATTATTTTAGTAATGACATGATTTTGTAAATGTCATTACTTATGATAAAGAGCTGGTAAGTTTCTGTCGCTTGTTCTTCTTGTCAGCTAAAAGACGTTCTGAACAAGTGGTACTTAGGGGAAAAAAATTTTGGACGATTCAAAAATGCTTGTAACAGGCTTACTTGAATAAAGATATTATGAAATGGGGGAACAACGGGCTTTGAAAGTTTAAGATTAAGCTAAAATTGTTACCCTATCTGATTTAACCATAGTTTTAACTTGCAAATTTAATCTGTAATTAATTCAAAGTGTATTTAATTAGATCGCTTGAAAAGGCTTGTTTAGAATATCTTGAATATCGTCATGTGTATTTGTGGATGCAGGTAAAAGCAATCTGAAATATGCAAAAAAAAGTTGACAATCCCAAATATTCCAGGAATATATAACTTCCTGTACGATTTGAGTCACGCTCATGTTATTTTATTATTTTTATGACATTCTTGCACCGTGACTGTGACCGTGAGATCTTTCACATTGGAAAAATTTAAAAAAAAGTTAGTTTATGCCCTTAGTTTTTTTATAATCAAATAGTACGTTGACCCCTAAATTCTTTAGCACCTTAGTTATTCAGAGAATGCTCTCCTATCCCATATTGAAATTTAAAATCTGAATAAAAACTTACGACACTAAGGCGACAAACATTTAATGCGGCTAATTTTTTCGCTCTCAATTAAAAGTTTTATATGGTGTTAACGACCAGGGCCAGGCCGACATTCCAGACTTCCTACATTAAATGTGTCGGTCGCCTGGGTACCACAGTGTGGGCGATGACAGAATTGTCTACAGGTTTATTGCTAAAGTTATAATGCAGACAGACATGGCTAGAAATACAGTGTATACTCTAACTTACATATCAATCACTTTATTTATTGTGACACATAAGTTTTTGAGTTACTGTATTGCTACAATCTTAAGTAATAATAATTAATAAAGTGCGAAACAAAATCCACAACTTTCTAAGCATGATAATCGTTTCACCTTTTCGGTTGTCGACGACTTACAATAGTTTAACGGCACCGATGTGTGACCCCATTTTCTAATTATGGATAAGTTTTGTTTTGTAAGGCTATCTACTGCCGACATGTCATTGCCGACATTGGCTCTTAATTTTTGTCAACAATTTGTTAGACTTTGGCGTTCCGATTCGTTTGTTCTGACCAATATTATTGCCGGTTTAGCATTTTTACATTAAATCAGAGTTTAGAAAACTAACACTTTTTTTTGAAGCATTACTAACTAGATCCAGTATATTCCAGACTAAATTAGACAGACGCGGAGCATAAGATAAATAAATACGTAATATAGCCGTCTCGACAATTAAATCACTTTACAAGTCGGACCATTTGGGTCCTGCCCACACGGCGTGCTAGTGATTATTCTCTCTGTGGAGTCGTCGGTTACTTTATAGACAAGACGCAGTTTGGTAAGACGTTTATTTGGAAACAGTTTTAAATTTAGAATTTCCGCTCGTCCCAAGTTGGATGAAATGCGTTCAGTACTTTCCTGGCATGAGGTCGCAGTTGTGTTAATAACGTTGGTTGACGTATCGTGTGGTTTGTTAATTGTGTACGCGGGATAAAACTTTCATAAGTAGCTGTTTTGGAATTTATAGTGCATTCTATTGTTTGTGTTTGTGTAAGCAAATTTTCGATATTATGTTTAAAAAATATGATAAATCTTTAAACATCTTCGTGATATTATGAACAAAGTCTCTTTACTTTATTATCGAAGCATAATATAGACATACTAGCCTTCCACCAGCGGCTTCGCCCGCGTGATCTAGTATTAAGTCCAGAAATGAGAAAATTCCATAAAAACTGTTATCCCCAAATTTACCATATTTCATAAAATCCCCTCTTAGTGAGCACCTACGTTCTAAAAAGAACCCGCATGCAAATAATTTGATTTTGAAACACTTGTAGTTTCTGAGATTTCGTGTTGAGTAAGTACATGAGTGAGTGACCTTTTGTTTTTAGATATAAAGATTAATATGCTTAAACTGTTAACTAAAGTAATAAAAAGAATAATACAGGGAATTTATTCATAAACTGCAATACACCATTATGATGTCAGGCATTACGGTAGCACAAGAAAAGCAATAGAAAAGCGCAAATTACTACTTTCGGACCTTAAAATAAATGTGTACTATTTACCTGTTTAAAGTTCACTAGAATCACAAAATTATATATGTATATAAAGGAAAAGAAAGTTTGGTACAAATAGTAAATAGGAAAAATACATTTCGCTATAAAGTAATAGGTTAGGTACCTATTACTTTATAGCCAAATGTATTTTTCCTTACTTATTAGTAATTTATCAATCTACAACACTCATGCAACAGCAGTTCATTCTAAAAATAATATAATTCCAGGAGTAAATGTATAGGTTTTATGATTAAAGGTTGAGACACCACCTGACGTAAACAAAAAGCGAAAACACCGAACCCAATGACTCACTATGACGAAGTTTTCATAATCATATCACAACAACACGCATACATTAGTAACGTTAGTTCCATGTTAACTAGTTCCAATCCAACACTCGGCAGTAAATCTCGTGTTCATTATTTAATATTTATTCTCATATCAATTTTCTCGCTTTTATTGTGCAAGCCACCAAGGCCGCTACATTGAGTGAATGCGGTTGACATACTTTAAAGTATCGCGAACGTAAAATCGGCCGTAAAATCTTTTATACTGAGAACAAAGGCTTTTATTTGCAAATTTCTTTAGCACTCCGAAGCACCAGCCTGTTGATCAAGACACGTGTCCAGTACATACGTGTAAACGAGACGATGCGAGCGTTCGACGCGCGTGTGTGATAAAAATCGAATGCAAAAATGATTAAAAGGAATGGTGATAATGTGTTTGCGATCGCGTCGTGTAACAATCAGTGTCAAGGCGCGCGGAGTGTCGTCTCGCTCACTCCCGGCTCAGCCACGAGGATTCCTCGAGCCACTACTGCCAGGATGACGCCGCCCGACGCGCACCAAAACACTAAGGAAGCAAACATTGCGCTATCTACATACGTGGAGAAATGGAAAAATAGATATGAAGAATCCGAAAGGAAACATAAAGCGTATCTACTAAAATCAGAAAAAGGTCAGTTTCATTCTTCGTGGAAAATCTTTTGTTTGGCTTTTTGTAGTTGCATTGCGCATGTGTCTTCTGTCCCCCCTCCTTAATATGCAAATGCAAATACTGGTGGAAAGCCTATTCGCGTATTCGTCGGATTATGACAGATACAAACCTGTTGATTTCACATTAATTCTCAAACCCTTATTGGCATAGCAACAGGCACAACTTGATAAGTACAAATTTATGAAAATCGTCATAAGTTTTGGTTTTATTTTTAAACGACTGAAAACCGACATTTAAAACCAGTTATTGAACTGCGCAATACTTGGCAACTTATACCTTTGTTATATGATGTGATGACAAAATGCTATCAACGTTGCAACAGGAAAATAATAGTTAATTTTTTTATGTTGCGCCCTTCACTATTTTATTTATTTACTAAATGTCAAAAACGTCATCTTTGAAAAAAAGTTTGTAAATTCGGCCTTTTGGCTGAGATCAAAGTACAAAGTATAAAAGATCTTAGTCTGTCATTTTTTTAAATAGAAATAATTAAAAAAGTTTTTGAAGTAATGAGTTAAACATAAACTAATTAATTTTCAGTAACATTATTTATGAAGTTTTTATCTATTCTGTAGAACTATATTTTTGCATTACTCGTTGGCAGTACAATACAAACGAGTTCATTTTGGAAGAGCAATTATTGCGTTAAATGTTATTATGATGATTTAAATTACGTTTTATCATTCATTAGTCATTACAAATCCAAACTTTATTTCTCGCTTATTTTAAACATTCATAATTTCATAATTTCTGTGACTCATAGGGGCTGGTTATTATTTACTAAATCATAAAACACAAAATTATTTACTTAGGCAGTACCAGTTTTCCTGTGTGATATTCCTATGAATAATATTTTTAAGAATTACATAGAAAAGTTTAAAATATTTTTTCCAGGTGATGATAAGATAGTACACATTATAATTTATGGTTGAATAATTCAATAACATTTTTAAACAACATGTTATCAGTCTATCTTAAGTTGATAAAAAGACAATAATATGCAGAGAATTAAAATAATTATGATGATATTTGCTTATAAATAGAATGACACAAAATGCATATCAAATATATACCTATAATACTCATTTAATAAAATAACTTACCAGAGTGCATTTGTATACTAACATCAACACAGTAGGTTTCTCACATTTACCTAGTTGAAGAGTAAATGTAAAGTTATGTGTTGCAATGAAATGCATAATCTAATATCGCATTGTAATAATGTTAGTTAATTACATGCTGTCAACAACTTTCTAAATTAAAAGTATTGCATTGTGAATACAATGTGTAATCAATGTTACTGTGATTAAATTACACAGCATTATTCCAGTATTAAATTTGTGTTTTGATGAAACTAAATTAGTTTTCAGCAATCATACTACAAAGTAATGCACTTTCTATGAAACAAGAATACTATGTATAAACTTAATTTATTATATTTGCATAATATTGATTTAATATTTTCTTTATTATACAGTTATTATACTTATAAAAATACATAATATTGTTGAATAAAAAATTTCAATAATGTGTTCACACATGAATTTAAACGAATTTCTTTCATTTTTATATTCAACTGTTCTTGATTATACAAGTATCATGTTTTCCAAAATGTCTACTGAGGTCTCAGAAGTAAATTAGTTCGCTAAGATGAAACAGGGATGACAACTCCATCCTAGTCTGTCAGTCAGATAATAGAAAAATATTAGATGCATATTTTTTTGCTTCAATTTCAACAACAAACGGCTTAGATATTAAAGTAGATGAGTAGGAGCTTGCTATGTCACAGTTTTGTAGAAAATGAACAAATGTTCATGCAACATTTCAACTCAATGTAACACCTTAATTTATTGATTATGGCAAAAATAAAGTAAAAATAAATTATTTAATATTCTTCAACGATCTACCTGACGGACGAACAAACAAAAATTAGTTGTCAACCCTATTATCTCATGTTTTTCTTTTCTCAGATTCTGTTTTAGGGTTTTATTTATTATGCTTATAATCATTAAAATGAAACATGTATTATTGTATGTATGATACCATCACAGATTTATGGTAATCAATAACAGATATTCTATCTCAATCTATTTTGAGCTTAAGTATGTATTGCAACATTAAAGTTAGAATGCACTAGAGTAATTAGTTGAATTTTTACAAGCTGATTTTCTGTTTAAACACATTTATTTGTTAAAGAACAAATGGAATTCAAATGTCACCAGATGTATAAATTCATTAAGATTCATATGAAACTTTTATCAAATCTCTTTGTCCTCAGATGTGAAGATATCAATAAATATATAGATAAATGTCACATAATAAATCACTTTGCAGTCAGGCGGGAGCATGATGACCTACAGCGACGCTACAATATACTGCAGGAAGAGCGTAACCACCTGGAGGGCGAGGTGCGAGAACGAGAGAGGGAACTGACTAAACTGAAGAATGTTTCCGAGAAACTGTTTTTAGAATACCAGCAGTTGAAAAACCAGCATGAAGTGGACACGGGAGTTATGCATAAGTACGTGTACTGTTTCTTTATTAAAATAATATTTCCTGTAATTTCTATATTTATTCTTATTATGTAGTAAAACAAACTATGGGTATATTGATAAACAATTGACATTAATTATTCTCTAGTGCCATCATTCTGATATAATGATGATAAATTGTAAAAAGGTATCTATAAAAAATAACAAAACAATTTTTCTTCTTTATCTCAGATGTTAGCAGATTTTGCTGTGATATTGTCCATGGAATGGTTAGCACATTGAGGTGCCGGTCATGGAATACAACAATTTATCATCTAGTGCTTCTGACCCACTGAATCCACAAAAGTCAACAAAATTCTCCAGTTGATTTTAAACTCTACTGTTAAAACATTATAGTTTAAAATCAAGTGGAAATTGGACAGAATTGTGTTACCTAACATGTTATTGACTCTTTTTCGATTTCAGAGATTATTCCATAACTGATAAAAAACTATATGCAATTAAAGTGAGTTAAAGTGGGACAGCATTGTACACGGGTATATCGTTGTCTCACTCTAACGACGTGTATTTATATGACGCTAAGAGCTCAGGGGAACACCTCAGTTATTTGTTATCGACTCCAATCACCTACGTATATGACCGTTTAGCTGAAGACAGACGATGTTATCATTCCGAAGCCATTAGTAAAACGGTTTTTTAATGTGCCCCTATCTAATCTAACGCGTACTGAATGGCCAAACTAATGTTACTCTATGTACAGTCGACGCAATGTTAACTAAGGCATATTTACCAAATCGCAGTATAGAAAAAGGATATATTTTTTAAATGTATTTATTAAAACTTGTGTACTGTGACAAATAAATTAACCACTTTTTGGAAGGAAGGATTAATAATACATTTCTTACAACTTACTAAAATAAAACAATGGGCTGATTCAATAATAAATACCCTATACAATTCTGGTGATATCTCCACACTAATGTACTTCCGTCAATCTCCGTCGTCAACTTCGTAATTATTTTCTACATTGACAGACGGGGTATCGAACCTAGGAACTCAGAGATGGCGACACCATAAAACCGGCGTGCGTATCACTCGGCCACGGAGATAGAAATCTTTTACCAATAACAGTTTTATTTAATGATCGTCGCCCATTCATTCATGTTATGTAAGATAACAACTCTGCCTAAAACATACATTAGCATGCATTATAGTTTTGCATAAAATTCGCATAGATTCAGTTTCTAAGTATAATTCGCGAATTTATTTTAACACGTCCAAATATAGAAACTGACTGGTAAATTATAATTTCTAACTGAATCTCTCTTTCGTTTATTAATTTCTCGATCAGTATCGAAATATCATTTGAGTGTGTGTGACTTGTTTTTAACTTTAGTTTAGTGCTCATTTAAGTAAGTCACTTGTGTTGGACGCTAGTAAAATGTAAGTAGGGGTCTATTACCATAGCATGATAATCGAAAGATGTTCGTCGTTAGAGTTACTTAATTTTAGATCTTATTCGTAAGGTAATACTACCTACTGTGTACAATTATAACAAATTTAGTTTTAAATAATACATACACCGTCGGACTAATGCGGAATACATACCGTCGGAATTTCGGATTATCATTTACAAAATTGATTTGGATAGTGTAGGAGTAAAATACAACGTAATTTGAAGAAGAGATATATATATATTTTTATTTATAATGATACAAAAAAATAGATTGTTTAATAAACTCACAGTGCTTATTGAAAATTCCAAGATAATATTTTATTATATTTTGATTAATTTTGTATTCACAATGCCATACTGAAAATTATTCTTAATACAAAATGCTTAAAAAATCCACTTGGTCCCCGGCCTGAACATTGATGAGAATACGCTCTGTAGTAGCGAAAAGTAACAAGTGCTTGAAAGATTCGTCAGTTTTGTTAGGTCCCGGGTAGCTCAGCGGTTAGAGCAGTCGCCCGGGTTGCGTAAGGTCGTGGGTTCGATTCCCATCTCAGGGTGCCAACTGCCAGGGACCAAGTGGGTTTTTTAAGCATTTTGTATTAAGAATAATATTTTTTTATTCCTAAATTATCGTTATTGCAATATAGAATCCGAAAGAAATAAGGTAAATTGAGAGGACATCCCGCTATATCATACATGGTAATTTCTTTAAAATTTGCATTGGTTCTGGTAGTAGGGCAATGATCCTGTAACATTAATTGGGTTTAATTATTTATTCTCATAAAACAGTGTTGACTTTAATTAATCACATCCAGGCCTATCCCGTATTGTACTCCTTTACCATGATATATCGTAATCACCGATGATCAATGCTGAAATAGTGCTACAAGTCGCGTATTGCATTTTGAGAACTTGAACTCTGATTGCTTAATATGTGTTATTCTAGGGTTATGCAACAGGCTGGTGAATGGTACAAACAGAATAAACAGCTCAAACGTCGCAGCACGGTGCTGCTGCAAGCTCTTCCATCAAAGACTATAGACATAGACCTCACAGATTCTACAGACACAGGTATTATTAAAAAATAATATTATTTTCATTCTACATTTTTCAAGTAATACTTGAATTACTGTTAATAAATATGTCGGTAGTAAATAATGAAAAAAATGGAACATTAACACCATTTATTGATTGCCCAAATTGCACCATTAATAATCATGTTCTTATTTTACGATTATAAAATAAGAACATGATTATTATATTACATGTATATTTGTCATAGCGTCAGACACAAGCAGCAATGAGGAGGTGGAATTCTTGAAGCAGACAGTGTCAGATTTAAGTAGAAAAATAGCAGAGTTACAGACTGAACTGAACACAGCCAAGCTGCACGAGTTCGAAGCGCATGAGGTCAACGTAGCGCTCGCGCAGGTTAGCGTGTACACATCTGTTTTATAATATTTACTATTCTTTGGTACCAATTATTGTACGTTTTTTTTATATTAATCGGTCATGACGTTGTTTAGTATTATAGCTTTATCTTTGTGCGACCCGTGATCTAATTTATCTATTAGATGCCTTTAATTTTTTTAAATTACATATAGTTATTTATCTTAATAGTGTTGCAACATACAGTTATAAATTAAAAAAACCTTTCTAATTTATTTTACATCCTAATATATTACAATTACAACCTTTCTTAATTATTTTACATCCTAATATATAAAAAATCAAGGATGGAAATTTGTCAAATAATTTCAACCGCCTCACAATGCCCCGTCTTTCTATTAAATGAAAACATAATGAACAAACAATAAATTAAAGTATGATATAAATACTCGTATATGAAGTATTCGTGTATTCTTACAAAGTAAAACTGTCTCGTTCTAGGAAGTGGAGACAGAGAGAGAGAAATGTGGCGCACAAGAGAAGGAGCTGGTAGAGTTACGCGGTCAGCTGGAGAGGCACAACCGCGTGTCCAAGCTGTTGATGGATGAAGTGACCGCACTCAAGCATCACGCCGACCAGGACCGCCTGATGGCCGAGACGTGAGTATACTGTCGATGGGTGGAGTGACCAGTGACCAGCTCAGATTGTTTCCGAATAAGTGACATTATTTTATTAGTTCTTCTGTTCTGTGAAGAAATTAATTTTGATTATTCGGTTTCGGAACGCCACCTGGGGAGAGTTTCACACATATCTTCGCCCAGGCGACAGTTTCAGGAGTGAGGATGAGTCAAGTGAATATCATTCGTGACCGTGATGTACACAATTTTAATACAAGAAATAAAAATAAATTGCCTGTCACTAGACTGCAAAAAGTTAATAACTCTTTCAAGGGTATTTGTGTGCGCTCCTACAATAAGGTCCCAAGCAAATACAACAATTAGATATGTCGGCGAATAGTCAGAAGGGGCTTTTACCAAGCCCAAATAAATGGTCCGTATCTGAGGACTATCTTTGAAATAACACTGCAGGCGTGTATACCAATGTGGATTTATTCCATTTTATCTCTTTTCATACGAAAATATAACGAGATGAGCGTGATGTCGTCGGATGTCTTTACTCCTCGGCGATCGGAAACAGAATGTGTGCCAAAATGGCGGCAACTTGCTTTTCGTTAACGAACTGTCAAAGTCAGTGTTACGATTCTAATAAAATTAAAAGTATCGATGATGACGCCCTCTCTACAATCGAGTAACTAGCAATTAAAAAAAGAAACTAAATCAAACGATCTTCATAAAGACATCTCCGAGAGATATCATGCAGTTTAAATCTACTATTAAAAAATACTTATTAAAAAAGCTTATTATAAGGTATTATGATTATATAACAGATAAGAACGCTTGGACTTGAGATGATCCAGCAACTGGATAGGTCTAAACTTATTATATTGATTCCATTATTATTAAATGATTATGTAATTGTTATAAGACCATAGTTTTTTTCTCTCTCTCTCTTTGTTCATAATGTATTGATCTGGTAATGGCACGGTTTTTGTAAATCTCATTACTCTTATTAGAGCTGGTGAGTTTTTTGCTCGTTCTTATCAGCGAAAATATTTTTTACCTGGGCGAGCGGGTGAAGAATCTCTTCTCTTATATTCGATGCACCACTCGGCCTCATCGGGGCGGCGCAGATTACAATTAAAATTTTAATATCCTCCGGTGGGATAATATCGTGGCAACATAATCCGTGTTCAGGTACAGGAGCGAGGCGCGCGACGCCAACAAGCGCGTGAAGCTGCTGCGGCACCAGAGCGCGCTGCTGCTGGGCTCGCTGGAGCCCGACGAGCGCCTCGCGCTGCTGCTGGGGGAGGTCGACAGTCTGCGGGAGGCGCTGGAGGACCAGGCCGCCCGCCACAGGGACCATCTGGAGGACCTGCAGGTACTAGCGGGAGGGGGTGAAGGAGCGGGACACGCGACGTCACTATATCCCCGTGGGGGGGACGCCCCGCGCGAGGCCTGCGGCGGTTGAGGGGTGCACGCAAGAGAAGTGTTCAAAATTACTTCAGTGATTAATGAAAATATATTACATACAAAAGATATTCCATGACTCTGATAGTACCTATTCACACGATGACCGTCTATACATAATATTATGACCTCGCACGTTTTAGATTTATGTTCGAAGGCGCGGGACACGCAACTCAAAACTAGTGACTTTAATATACAAGAATATACGTAATCCGAACTTAATTATTAAAATAACTAATTCGAGAATAATAATTAACATCTCTAACTTGATACAAGTTTTATATTTGCCGCTGTCAATAACCCTAGTGTTAATTATTCCTTTTTTTAATATTTTCAGTTAAAACTGACTGAGAAACACGAAGACACAGATATTATATTATGGGAAGAGAAAATAAGACTGGCAGAAGAAGATGCACAGAAAGCGTTAGAACGAGCGGAGAGAGCGGAGAAGAAACTATCTGACGCGGAAAGAAAGATGGTAGATCTGGAGAGGAAGCTATCAGATGATAGGAAACCGAAGAGGTCCAACCTGATGTCCAGGATTAATTACTTTGAGAACGGCGGAGAAGTCAAACTTGCAGTTAACGAAGTCAAACAAGAACAGACCGGTGAGTGTTGCATTAGAAATATTTTTATAAATATTGGTATAAAAAATAATGTAGGTGGGTAGTTTTATTACTAGGGCATATGAATTCACTCTGTATCAGCGACTGAGCTCAATATAAGACTGAAATAAATATTCGATTCCATGATAAATATGTTTCAATTTACAATAATTTTATAGAATACTGTTGTTTGCAGGCAATGTTTGGAAGTTTGCCTCGATAAAATATATAAATGAAAAAGTTTATAGCTGAGAGCTGTTTTTTTTTCTATTAAATGAGGAAGTATTTAAAAATAAAAGAAAGCACCAATAAAACACCTCCAATAGATGGCAAACTCTAGCAAAAGTTGATTTTTGCAGGAAACGAATGGACCAAAAACAGTCATTTCCGATCCTTTTAACTAACATATAAAAAAATTGAAATGTGCAATGTTCAAAACTTAGATATCAATACAAACACGAAAAAGTTCAAATAGAATATGAGTTGTTTATTGAGTTTTGAAAACTAATTTACTTTTATACATGAAAGAAAACCGGAAGGGTTGCCATGGAGAAATCAAGAAAGTACCGTAGCGACATCTAGTTTCATTTCGAGACCTTATTTTTTGAAATACTTCCTCATTCTGAACTTATAATATCAACGGATCGATATACATTATATATATATACGTTGATTTATATCAATTGATATTTATAATATTTATTGTTGGTTTGAGTATTGAGTCTCAGCTAGAAAATTAACCAACCCGATGTGACGCTGGCAACATTGATCCGAAGTTTGCCTGAAACGATCTTACTTACTAGATATATCGGGTATTTATCTTTAATATGAAGGCGAAGTGCGAACGGTTAGTTTCTAATTTTTTTCTTAACAAATTTAATGCTTAAGTTCACAAACTCGATCTTTATTTTACGCTTTTGATTTTCAAGATCAAATATTAAATAAAGCCCCTAGCAGCTGAAAAATCGCACGGTTTCATATGCACGATATATAATCCGAATATAATGAAATATCGGACATTTATTATAAATATTGGATTTTTTGAACCCCGGTTCATCACAATGTGTTATGTGAATTAAATAATAAATTGTGCCGGTGTGACCGCAATGCCCGTGAGCCCGGCGTGGATAATTTAATGCCGTTACCCCTTTATTCAACGTGTTCGCCGTTAGGTAATCTATCGTAAATACTCAAAGAGGGGGGGCAGATACGGATCCATGGGTGCTGTCTTTTTTGTCGATGACTACTCAACATACCTCGGGCACAGAGGAGTTCGAGATGATAAATTTAACGGGAGACGGAACGCTCTCAGCGCTGCGCGATCGAGTTCCCACGCTGTGTATTGAAGTTATACAACCCGCGTAATCTTTTTTAGCTGCACTGCCGGAGGTGACTCCCGAGCTGGGGGAGGAGACTCCGGTGCAGGGCCCCCCTCCCCCACCCGCGGCCCCCCCGCCACCGCCGCCGCCTCCCTGTTCCCTTCCCCCGCCCCCTCCCCCACCACCTCCCCCTCCTCCTGCGCCGATGACGTTCGCCACTGCCCAGCAGGAGAATATGGCGCAGATGTTGGCCAACAAACAGGGCTGCTTGAAGAAAACCAAACAGAACGGAGGTATGATTTGTTATACATGTGAATTCTAGCATTTGTCGTCAATTGCGTCGGTTAGACGGTTAGGTTGGACCTTTTTTTTTGGCCACGATGTAAATGGAATAGTATGAATAAGTAAGATAAATGTGGTGTTTCGTTTGGGCGCGACAGGTGGCGCTATAGACGCGATAGTGGACCAGATAAAGGGCGGCAAGTTCCACCTGAAGTCCACGGAGCAGAGCCTCACTTCACGCAGGGAGCGCGCGGCGGAGGAGCAGCCCGAGGCCGTGAAGGAGATGCTCGCCATCCTCGGCACGCTGCGCCGCCGCCGCGCCCCGCTCGACTGCTGACTGCTGACGGCTGACTGCTGACGGCTGACTGCTGACGGCTGACTGCTGACTGCTGACTGCTGACTGCTGACTGCTGACTGCTGACTGCTGACTGCTGACTGCTGACGGCTGACTGTTGACTGCTGACTCCTCGCTCATTCCCTTCTTTACACCATGTTTAGACGCGGACTTTTGGAATTGATCTATTTAAACATGTCCATATAAATAGTCAAGAATTTTAAATAAATTACTAATAGTATATAGTAATAATACATATTATAAAATATTTTTCTCAGTTTGTTGAATAATGGTGAGTGTTGTTAAAATTTTAATAGAATTAAATATGTTGGATACAGGAAAAATTTATGGTCGGTGCACAAAAGTTTATGTTCTGTTCGGTGTGGTGAATCATATTCATGTTTTCGTTCTCTCGTTTTGGACTTGCTAACATCGAAGATACAATTTTAAATACGTTTTTACTTATGATATTGTATCGGAGGTGGTTTTGTCAATAAATTTACAATTTATTTACAACTATTGGAAATGTTAATACGTATAAAATGATAAATTTTTATATTTCATATTTAAAAAAAAAAGATGTTTTCTTTGTACACGTGTTCTATTAACTATATATAGTTTACTCCTGTACTATATTATATGTTAAAGTTTGTGCACTCGTAACACAATTTTCCCGTATGTTATATGCAGAGTTATGGAATTTTAAAAATTGTAATTATTTAAATAACAACTGTGTCATTGTGTACAAATGTAGATTAATATCCAAGTCTTGAGGAAAATACTTGAAAGATATTTGTAGAATATCCTTAAGGTTGATAATTTTAAGACGTATGTTTCATTACGAACATACAAATGAATCAATAATGATGACTGATAATGGCAGCGGCCATGTGGGATATGTATTTTTGAGGAATATTACGAGAATTGAGTGAAATATTTAGAAGCCACAAATTTGCTTTTAATTAGGATAAAAATAATAATTATACCGAGTGGAGCATTGATCTCCTTCGGTTACCGTGCTAGACAATGCTAAAAAATATATTTATTAATAAGTTGTGTGGTGTTACTCTGATTTCTCAAACGCGATGCAATTACATCGGCCTCTGTGGGATTGTGTTATTCCCTGGGGGCCAATTCTACAAAATAAATTTTGTTTGAATCGAATCGATAACGGATCGAAACCGAACAAACTACGGTTTTTAATGGTTTTCCTATTCTATAAAGTGACATACGATACAATTCCAGTTCTATTTTAGGTGGACTTGTATAGTATGTCACTTAGTAGAATAGAAAAACTATTAAAAACTGTAGTTTCGTTCGGTTTCGATCCGTTTTCGATTCGATTTAAAAAAAGAAAATTTAATAGAATGGGCCCCCAGGTCAGTGTCTCATCAACAGCGGCGTTTGAATAACATATAGAGAGCTCATTGTAACGGCCCCGAGTAACGATGACGAAGTATGGAATTGAATGTGCCAAGAAACAAATGCCACTTTATATAAAATTTTAAATTAAATATAAGTAAATAATGTTTCATATTTGAATGCCATATTTTTATAATTATTATTGAAATTGTAGAAGGACGAAGGACAACGTAACATCAATTAACGATTGACAAACGAATTTGAACTTTACTTTCAACATGTTAAAGTTACAGGTCAGTTGGTAAGTATTTTTTTTTTAATTTAGGACATTTGTTAATATACCTACATGTTCTTACTATCGCTGATGAATGAAATTTAGTTTTTTTTTCATTATTAGTCTACCAGATTGTGGCATGAACTATCGATGAGATTCTAAATAAGAATGTTTTATAAATTTTAAAATTACAGTATTAAAACAAAGGTAATAAATTACCATTTAAACAGCCAGTTGCACAAACGTCCTTTAACGTTTGACGCCTTTAAGCTCTTAAAAACGGCAAATTTGTGTTACTAATGACACTTTAAAGTTAACCTAATGAAAATGTTAATGGACGTTTGTGCAACTGGCTGATATAGTAATAACTTTGTAAGGGTTTTATGCTTTGTAACTTACAAACGATTCATCTTATCCATTGCAGTGTTATGAATAGCGATTCTACAATAATCGTTTGAATGTTCATGAATTGTTTTATTAAGTTACGTTACTTGTTTAATAACCAGAGGTCGGAATTAGGTAGAGTTATTTATGTACTTGCATCGAAATGTTGATATTAATGTGGACCTTCCCGGGATTTCTAATGGACAATCCCGTGTGGCCAACAATCTTACAACTAAATAATAATAATAACGTCAGAGATAGACAAATAAAACAAAGATAACTAACATAAAATTTTTATTAGTTTACATTAATTTACAATACAAATTTTGCAACTTTGAACATCCGATGTCATTGATGTAAGTTTGGCAACGTCGTGCGTGCAGTAGTTTAAATTGTGTAAAAGTAAATAACTTTTTATTTAATAAATCACGGGATTTTTTCTGCTCTTTAAAATTAATCTCGGGATTTGAGGCATATCCACTTTATTCTTTCGCTGTATGAAATCAGTGTAAGTACATGAATAACTCTACCTAATTCCGACCACTGTTAATAACAGAGTGTAATTCTATAATATAACCGCATATTTAGACATAGACAAAGAAAAAAATAGAGCAAACAACGTATCATACCGATGAGTATATCGCGTATGTATCAAACATTTGATATAAAGTATGTTCTCGTTTGAAAACTTGCTGATACATTATTTTGTGATCGATTAGTTGTCTTGTATAATATTTAGGTACTGACATTTATTACAAGTGCAATGTTATGCCTATAAAATAATTTCTAAACTTGTAACGATTACCTTATCTGCTCATGGCCGAGACTAAATATACGCCCATGGCTGTACATACTTATAGTTAATTAAACCTTATGACTTTAACATATCAAGAGATCAATTAAAAAAAAAAACAAGACTTAATGTCACAATCAACGAATTATTATAAGATTATTGCAATTTGTGACTTAAGTAGTTGCTTGATGGGGAGATGATTTTTGATCTGAATACTCTAAAATATAAGATTTTTATACAACTCAATTGTTATTGTACACATTAAATATTTTATTGAAATTTATAAATGGAGTGGTTTAGTTTGTATAACGTAGAAGAATAAATTGTTTATTAGAAAATTTAAATATTTCTTTCATAGGAAATAAATGTTATGTATTTGCTGTATGTTTCAAAGTTACCGTCGGTGCCATTGTTTTTGATAGAATCACATCAAAATTGGTCGAGCATTTTAATGTAAAGTATTATTTAGGTTGTAAGTTTTTATGTTAGAAATAAATTTACTTATTTAAAATCGTTGTTTTTGTTTTCATTCACTAAACATAGTTCTCTTACCAAAGGATTAATAAATAAAGTAATAATATATTAGACTGAAGATAGGATTCAAAATCAGAATCATCTTTATTCAAATAAACACATGAATGTATAAAAAGTACTTTTGAATTGACTGACTTTTTCCCTGTCACTCGTTCTGGACATCTTTTAGCTGTTACGAAAAACGAGCAAGAAACTTCCCAGCACTAACTAAAATAACGACATTTAAAAAAATTATGTCGTTTCCAAATCAATATTAATAATCTATTATGTAGTGAGCCAAACGTTGCACTTTTAACCGGGCCGAGCGTGATTTTCCTGGCCAAATCAAGAAATGGCGGCATGTCGTGAAATGCCCGGACAGATCTCGATCGGCCCGATTCAACGATTGGCATAAGACATGTGTATATAGTCTAAAAGTCCTTTACCGCTGTGTGCTTTCTGTGATCTTCTAAACTACACTACGGGCTTTAATGCGGTTTTATGAAAATTCAATTTTGAATTACACATCCTAAGATATTGTAAATATAATAGAACATCGTCACGAAAAACTGCTGAACTGATTTTGATGACATTTGGTATACGTATAATTCTAAGCCTGAATTAGCATATGGGCTGCTATTTTTTTGTCCCACTAAAAGGATCCCTACGGATAAGTGTTAACCACTAGGTACCAGTAGGTTAGAAACAAGTAGTTATATTTGCACGTTTTTCGGGTAAAAAAAGAAATATATCAAATTATGATTATGATTTAATATATCAAAATTTAAAATATGTGTATGATTTATAATTAACATTGTCTGATTTATAAAGTCAAATTGATTGAAAAATGTCAGAAACTTCGATTGACCGAAACCACATACACACAAACGATAAAAAGTACAGGATCCAGTTTGGATCCTTTGGATAACTTTGAATGAAAGGAAAAAAATTGTGACATTGCTGTCGCTATCGCGTATAATTTTTTGTATGTTATTTATTATCATACTAAATGCATAAAAATATGGCTCTAACCATACCTAATGTATTAATGCATGCATATTGGGTTTTTTCCCAATAAGCGTTCATAAATTACCGCCCGCTGCACTGGCCATTCATATTCCTTTTTTTAATCAGAATTAAATATAAATAGCATTAGTTCTTCCTGATTATAAATGAGTAAATACCTGTTCAAGCGTTTGTGAATAATTTTCTCCTGAGGGGTGAAATATACAGAGTAAAAAAATACAGTACATATCAAATACAATTAGCATATTTATGTTTCATTTTTAATTTTAGCCAGTTCAAGTCAATGAAAAATTATTTAAATTATAATATGTCTTATTTATTAAAAATAATTAGCTGATAATTGAATTGCGAATTGGGCCAGACAAGACTATTGCTAATTTGGAAAAGTGTTAAGGTTTGAATGGCCTTCTCCTCTAATGTCCGTTTTTTATAATTTACTCAAAAGAGTTTTATAAGATACCCTATCGTAGGCCTTACTTGTATCACTACGTGCCACAACACAACACGAAAAAAAAAATATTTTCTCGCATGTAATAAGAAAGACTAATTAAATTTGTTTATTGAATCTATCGCATGTATTGACGGAGTAAAAACGACGCCTACATACATATTATTATTCCCTAATTAGACAAAACAGGATCGCTTTAATGTAGACTTTACAGTCAGACAGAAAAATTTAATGATGTAATACATTGTTATATTCATTTATATCTATTAGATCGAAGATCAATTGAAAAGTAGTCGAGTT